ATATGTTCTATATATATATATATATATATTGTGTGTATTTAGGCATATATATATATATATATTGTGTGTATTTAGGCAGCATATTTTCATTTATACACGTTTCATTAAATAATATAGACAAGTGTTGTCTATTTATTTTATGTAAAATTTTTTCGTATCTTCTGATAAGTTTGATAACATTATCATTAACCGAAAAAAGAAATTCACAATATTTATCCATTATTTTTTAATATAATCTAAGCTTTCGGCTTATCAAGCCATTATCAAAGATGTAATTACAAACATATCAAACAATATACGGACACTACAGTGATGATAGTCTGTCATTGTTTAGTTTACATAGTGGATCACTAAGCAACGATGAACACGCGCATATAAGACGCTAGAAGCGAAAATCGCACTGCATCTCATGACGTCACACATGACTACACGAGAGTGAACTGGAGAATGAAATAAGGAAAGCCGTTGGTATAAACCAATGGCTTCTGTTACCAATTATAGAAATTATAGACATTTATATATATATATATGTAAGCAAATATATGGATATAGATCCGACAGTATGAAGAAAAATATACGGAAAAACAATTATCGGTTTGGATTGGTCTTGCTTTTATGTAAATCCTCTATTTCATGTTGAATTGAATATGGTCTATGTTAGTTATGTTTCATGAATATGTCCTGAAGATGGTCTGTTAGACCGAAACGTCCGACGTTGACATTATATTAACATTAAAACAGCATAATAGCATATTAGGATTTTTGTTTTTTTTCTCCGTATATTTTTCTTCATATATCTATATCTATATCTATCTATCTATCTATCTATCTATCTATCTATCTATATATATATATATATATATATATATATATATATATATATATATATATATAATAACAGATTATGACCTGAGGCTTTTTTCAATATATTTTCATTATTTCCAGATGTGTGCTGCTCTCTTTTCTCCTTTTATTTCTCTTAGTCTTAACCCTCTGAAAATGCCGCTTTATTTTATCGTCTCTCTTTTCTTTCCCCGGCATCTTTTAACTTTTTTTTCTTACTGCCAGATAATATTCTTCCTATAATAACTTGCTTTTATTCTCTCCTTTTATACCTTCGTATGTCTGTTGTCGCCTCTATTCTATTCGTGACGCTCACTGTTTCTACTTCTCTTGCATGATTGAGGGGCATGAAATAAATCTCCGGCAATGCAGACAATTCAACTCGACGGACACCGTGAATGCGAAGAAGCTGTGCATATAATGGCGACTTGTAATTGAAGCCGACTGTCGGTGAAGTGGTTGGCATCTCGGTGGAAACGCTGTATCAAAGTCGTTAAAAGAATTTCGATTTGTCCGTGTCACTGGTCCAACGACTTCCAAGAGACTGCATTGTGTTTCAGCTTGACATTAATCTGAAAAATATGAGATATTTTCTGTGGGAGAAGCTTCGATTCCAGAGTTGCACAAATCCAAGTGCACGTACAAATACACAAAGAACCCTCACATATATATATATATATATATATATATATATATGTGTGTGTGTGTGTGTGTGTGTGTATGTGTGTGAACAGAAAGGTTTGGCTATCGTCCAGTTCATACTCCTTCCTTGCCTTTTGAGTGAGTAAGAGTAGAGATTACTCAATAGTTTCATGTTTAGGATGAGTTTTAGTGGCATTATCGCATTGACGTGCTAACCGAACGACCCTCTGAGGCCGAATCGGTTAAAAGTCTCGTCAGGTTATATGACGGTTCCATATAGGATACAGGTTCGAATCCTGTCGAAGGACGAATATTTTCTACGAAAATTTATCGGACATTCAGGCCGGTAAATGTTGTTTAATTCTGTCCATTATAAACAGAGCAGTTACTTAAATATTTGTATCTATAAAAAGAATGTATAAACATAAAATGTCTTAATATATATATATATATATATATATATATATATATATATATATATATATATATATATATATATATTAGATAACGATATATGTTTATATATATCAAGAACAGTATTAAGGAATTTACTGTAACGTGTTTCATCCGAGGCTTTGAGTCTGCTGGCGTTGTTCATCTTGTTGAACATGCTAGATAACAAGCTCTCTCCCAGAAACTGTAACTAAGGTCTGCTCAGCATAGATGCAATATAATCCACAGGTTGACTCTGTGGGTGCTGAACAAACAAAAAATATGTCCCTGACCGAAAGTCTGAAATAGGTTTTGGCTAGCCGCCCTAGTAGATGGGTATCCTCGAATACAAGTGGCCAGCTATTATATATATATAGCTATTATATATATATATATATATATATATATATATCGACCCTCCCGCCGAATTCGACGTATGAGGGTGAAGCAGATCAGACGTGGCAATATAACGGGAAACGAGAGAGTAGAGTATTTAGGACGAAGACGACATATTGGAGGCAAAAGAAAAATGTTTATTTGGGTTTGAGTAAGTGTCTAGAAAAACCGGAGCAAAGAATGATAGCAAACGGTCAAAAGGTATTTGTAATAAAAAAGGATATTGTGGAGAGCCATAATCTCACATACCTTGAATAGTCATGGCATATAAAACAAGATTAGTTACCAGTCTAGATGTACATTCTTGTCAACACCACCGGTTAATTTTAGTGACATCCTAATTTTTTTTTTCTGTTGTGTTGTTATTGTCTCTCTCTCTCTCTCTCTATATATATATATATATATATATATATATATATATATATATATATATATATATATGTGTGTGTGTGTGTGTGTGTGTGTGTGTGTGTGTGTGTGTGTGTGTGTGTGTAAGCAAATATGGATATAGATCCGACAGTATGAAGAAAATATATGGAAAACAAAAGTCTGAATATGCAATACTAGACCCGGCTTCTTTAATATTTCCCATTTTCTAGCAAGATTAATGCTCGACAAACGTACTTATAAATTTTAAATTAAAATAAAATTCTTTTTCATTTAAAATATACTCTATTTTAGGAATACGTGACGCCGGCGTGATCATATTGAAAGGGAACGTTGATCTTAAAAATTTCAGTTATTCTGTTTTGATTAGTCTTACACTTACGTCTATCGTCTTTTCATGTCGACTTGGATATCGTCTAATATTAATTATGTTTTAATTACTATGTCCTGAAGAAGGTCTACTAGACCGAAACGTCTGACGTCGACATTGAAATAACATTAAATCGACATATTTGCGTATTCGGATTTTTTTTTCTCTATATATTTTTCTTCACGCACACACACACACACACACACACACACACACACACACACACACACACACACACACACACACACACACACATCAGATGAGCTCTCTGGGGACGAGGTGTGGGTTGGTAAACAGTGACTATTATAGCTATATAGCGAGACTCTTCGCAGGTGCGAATTGAGTCACTGTCGGTCACTGGGCGTGTTTCTAAAACGACGGCTTAATGTTTAGAATCTCCGACTGACACCAATTCAGTCGGTTTTCGATCCTAGCTAGAGGCAACCGGATGTCTAGCCACACTGATGAGCTGCGAAACAGTCTGTCTGTGGTTGACGTTATATATATATATATATATATATATATATATATATTTCTGCTAAACCAGGTTCAATAACGATTTCTTTGTGATGCTGGTACCGAAGAACAAGAACAATTTTTTTTTTTTAAAGTTGCACCGCAAACATTAGCTCCCTCTTGGATGCCAGATTATCTCATAGGTCTGTTACTGCTCCGCGGCTTCATTCAGGCTACGGAATGACACATAACAGATGCTAAAACATTTTTATTTATTTTTTATTCATTTTACCTCAAAGCAAGGAGATAATATCACTAAGATTCAAGGTGGTACAGACAGTGAGAATGAAGAGAAAGGACAACAAAAGAACAGGTTTCAGGACCCCGGAAGAGATTTCCACAGCCGAGAAGTGCGAGAAAAGGAACTAGCAGCATAGAACTTGCGGTTACATAGAGCTATTTCAACAGTCAAACGACGGGACCTGGTTGCCGATTTAAATTCAAGCGATCGAGGTACGCAGGGAGAAAGCTTGCCATGAAAAATTAATAGGAAAGCCAGCGGACAATCTGGTCAAGGAGCTTGGAACGTGCCTGAAGCCGAGATGATAGCTCAGCATCGATAACATTAAAGAAGCGTTTTTAGATATTGTCGAGAATCTCGTTATATATATCAGGAGCACCAGACCAGATATGACAGCAATATTCAATGCACAGACGAAGATGTAGATTTATAAATGTGCAAGATGGAATCTGGCACATTCGTTCCATGTGCTTAACTACACGATATATATATATATATATAAATTTAGATATATGATTCTCTGTATATTATCTGCGTTTATATCTATATTTGTCATAAAATGTACAAAATTTCCCTGTATACATAAATAGTCAGAATAGATACTGAGATCCGTCTGCCAAAATATTATAATCAATGCGGCACAGAAACATAAAAATCTCCATGTTTTTCTTTTCGTTTTTTTTTTATAAGCGGTTCAATAACACGTTTGCATATACGCCAATGTTGACTTCCGTTTCCGGGTGCGCATGCGCAACTTATAAACAATTTTTTTGTGTGTGTGTGTGTGTTTTTTTTTTTCTCTTTCTTACTGCCTTCGCAAACGATCACCTTAATCTGATAGACTTTATGCGTGTACGTATTAATCTGGTCAAATTCGATTAGCTTCGATTATTACCGATCGATATATCGTAAGTCGGCATCTGCCAACTGACGAAAGGAAACCGCGGCTCGTGCTTCTTCAGCAAACCCGCAACCCTCTTCCCCACCACCAACATCACCAAAAAAAAAAAAAAAATTATAAGGATGAGAAATGAAAAGCTGTTTGAGGTGAAGAGAAATCCATAAATACTACTTTCGATCTCATATGTGCAAATTAGCTGTTAGCTATATGATATGAAATAAACTAAAAGCCACAACCAATAAGTCAACGGGCGTGGAAATCAGGGAATCATGATGTGCTCATATAAAATTCACTTGCGCAAATATCCATTCTCACTCTCTCTCACCCTCTCTCGCTCGCTCACTGTTCTCTCTCTCTCACATTCAATCTCCGTTCTTTCTCACACATACCCCCAATCCGTCACTTTTCTCTCATACACCCCTGTAGCTCGATTGTATCTCTCTCACTCACCCCTCATCTTTTGTTTCATGCCCCTCTCCCACTCTGTCACCTATTTCACACTACCTCTCCCTCTCTTTCCTCTCACCCACTCTTACAATCTTTTCTCTCGCATAAACCCTCTTTTTTTTTCTTTTTCTCACGCTCCATTTCCCCCTCCATCTCTTTTATATATCTCTCTCATAATACCGGCTGTATTTATCTCATTCTCTCAATTTTCTCTCTCTTACTCTCTGTCTCTCTCTCTCTCTCTCTATTACACCCTGCCTCTCTTTTTCATTTTCTCACACCCCTTCTCCATATATCTTCCACACTCCCTCCCTCTAGTATCTCTCTTACACCCCTTTCCCTTTCATTTATCTCACTCAAACTCCTCTCCCTCTCTTTCCAATCACTCTCCTGTTCCCCTCGCAATATAATGTCTCTCTCACACTCCCCCTCTTACTTTCTTTTTCTCACACTCACTTTCCCTCTCCCTCTAATTTCTATCTCTGAAAATCCCCCCCTCAGTTTTTCTCTTTCACTCTCTCTTTATTTTCTCTCTCATACTCTCTATTTTCTCGCTCTCACACAATTATTTTTCTCTCTCTCACAAACTACGCCCTTCTCTTTTGTTTCTCAAACACTCTCCTTTATTTCTATCTCACTTACTCCTTCCTTCCCCATTCTTTTAACTCCAAAAGACTCTTTTTTTTTTCTTTTTGGCACTCTCTTTCCCTCCCTTTCTTTTCTATCTCACGCATTCTATTTCTCTCTGTCACACACTCTGTCTTTGTATGCCTCTCGCTCCCTTTCTCTCTGTATCTATATCTATGTGAGTGTGTGTATGTTGCAGGGTGATTGAATTTTCCGTGGATTGGGAAGTATGTGAGTTAAACAGCGTGGCTCGACCTTAATGTTCTGTCCTAAATTTGTTTTTGCGTTCGATCCATTTTAAGGCCGGCTTGAAACCGCGTATCATTCCACGTGTAGCACGATTAAGGTTACCCCTTTGTAAAGCCTGAACAGATATTATATCAATGTTGGGCATTCTACTTTGTAACACGTAAATGTTCAAGGAATGAACACTCAAAAGTTGTATTTGCCATTTATGCGTCGACGCCTACACATGAAACGATCAGAAGCCACTTAGTCAATGCACGACAGGGCGATTTTAATACAAATTACGTTTTGCTTAATTTGGCCTTCTACTCCAGAAGTGTTTTTCCCAACTTCCAAGAACTGTTATTCAGTTGAGGACATTTAAGGCCACTTTCATCAACCATGCACACAACATGATCAGCCCAGTGAAGTACCGATTGCATTAGACATTTCTCTTTGACTCCAATTTCGCACTTTGAAAACATTAATATAAGACATTAACTTTTCCAGATGATAGATATTTTGGGGATAATATGCTTATGGTTCAATCAAGCTAAAAACGCCGTTTTGGGTTCATTCAACTTAAATGATAGAAACTTGAGAACATGGGACACTTTAATAAACCTTCCACAATCCGGACTATGTTTCGGCTTTAAATAATCAACAATGGATTGATAATCCGTAAAAACAAATCGATCAAATTACTACTTTTCAGTTTATATATATATATATATATATATATATATATATATATATATATATATGTGTGTGTGTGTGTGTGTGTGTAGTAATCCGTTGGTATAATCCAGGCGAGTCCTATAAACACAACACAAAACTGACTCAGAAAAGAGCGCTCAATGTTTATTTTCAATAAACAGAGCAAATTTTCTTTACAATTGGAATTAAGATACCTTCAGTAAATGACCATTTTCACCTACGAAATTTAATTTTAAAATTCGCAGGATCATTCAAATTATTTATGGTATCAGTTTGTAGTGTACTTCTACACTGTATTTCTCATCGTATCAAATTGTAGCGTTTTGGGTGCACTAAAAACTCATACAATAAACACAATGAAAAATCCTGCGAATTTTAAAGTTAAAATTCGTAGGTGAATATGGTCTTTTACTAAAAGTATCTTAATTTCAATTTAAAAATATATATATATATATATATATATATATATATATATATATATATAAATGAGTGGAAAATTTTAGTGGTGACCGATTTATAATTTTATCTAGGTCCCACTTCACATTTCACCTCAAGGTTCTAGAGTCATTGTATATCAGATCCCATGAGCCTTCCCTTTGTAAACAGAGGGAATGCTTGCTGGGTCTGAATGTTATTGGACTCTAGTTTCTTGAAATTCATAACTTTTTCCCCCCATTCGATTACATTCATTAATTAAAAACTAATTTACACGGTTTTTTAAATTACCAGAATAAATAAACTTGATAAGTCCTGGAACGAAACCGGTTGTTTTTATTTTAGCTTTTGCTTTTAAAAATGCCTTATAAATATTGTCTTTTCCTATCTATTATATATATATATATATATATATATATATATATATATATATATATATATATATATATATATATGTATGAATGTATGTATATATTGTGTGTATTTAGGCAGCATCTTTTTCATTCAATCACGTTTCAGTAAATACTATAGACAAGTGTTGTCTGTTTATTTTATGTAAATTTTTTTTTTTTTTTTCGTAACGTCTGATAAGTTTAATAACATTATCGTTGAACGAAGAAAGAAATTCACAATATTGATCCATATTTTTTTAGCACAATCTAAGCTTTCGGCTTACATAAGCCATTATCAAAGATGTCAATTACAACATATTAAGCAATATACGGACAAGACAGTGATGATAGTCTGTCATTGTTTACATAGATGATTTGTAAGCAACGATAAACACATAAATATAAGACGCTAGAAGCGAAAATCGCACCGCATCTCATGACGTCAAACATGACCATACGAGAGTGAATTGGAGAAGTATGAAGTATGGAAAGTCGTTGGTATATATGCATATATTCATACACACACACACAGATATTCAAAATATAATATGGTAATAACTCATCGCACCGTATATATATATATATATATATATTCATTAAAGACATTTTTATGTTTAACGTTGTTATTTTATAGATACAAGTATTTAATTGCATCTGTTTATGAAAACAGTATTCATTTTCTTTTGTCAAAGAAACGAATATTTTCTACCGAAAAATTTCTTTGACATTCAACGGAAAATTTTATTTAATACTTTTATCATAAACAGAGCATTTGCTTAAATACTTGTATCTATAAAATAACAACGTTAAACTTAAATGTCTTTTAATAAATAAATTGTCCGGACCTTGTCCATTTCTATATATATATATATATATATATATATATATATATATATATATATATATATATATGTTGCGATGAGTAAATTATTGCCATATGATATTTTTAATGTCGCGCATGCGAGTTGTTTGCACATTATAGTATGGTCAGTTGGGCTCCGTCCATGAGAAAAAGAGCACCATGACGCAATTCACTCCGTCAGAAATTTGATTTACTGCTTGGAATTCGTGCCAATACAAACATTTCAGAGTGATTGGGTTTCAATCTGAGGATAGTACAGAGGATTTGTAATGTTCTGTAAGAATCAAAAGATGACTTCGGAGGTGTTTGAAGTGATCTATAGGGATGGTGACGTTATCCCTACATTCGTCTTCCCACCGGCCTCAGACCCAACAAGGAGGCATACATCGAACTTTGAGGCGGTACTGATACCCTATGCCAACTGGGTGGTGTCTAGATGACATTATGTCTGGCAACTTAACACTTCCCCATGGTATACAATCAGGAGAACCCAATCATGGCGCTCAAACAATTTCGACGATCACATCAACCTTTACATCTGCACATCTAATTCCCCAGACTGCCCCTTTGATTATTGTGTTAAGCGAGAGACCAACAAAATTCCATGTAACACCAAAGATGAACTGATGTCAAGGATTACGACAACATTCACAGACTTAATCAGGGAGACCGTCCAGAAGAGATGCAGGAGAGTCCGAAATCGTCTGGAAGCCGTGGTTGAAGCCAATTGCGATTTTCTTGAATTCATTTTGCTCTTTAGTATCTCAAGCTATTTTTGTGTAATTTTGGTAAATATATCCGCTAAAATGATATATCAGTATTATTTTATGTTTTGCATTGTAGACGACAATTTATCCATCGTACAGTGTATATATATATATATATATATATATATATATATATATAAAAGTCATCCACAGACTTACTGTTTCGTTGTATCGCAGCTCATCAGTGTGGTTAGACGTCCGATTGCTTCAAGCTAGGATCGAAACCCGACCGATTTGTCATCAGTCAGAGATCCTACCTCCAAGGCAGTAGTTCCGCGGCAGAGAGAAAGCGAAATTTTAACGTTTTCTATACGAAATACGTCAGGAGAGCTCAATTCATAATTGAAGAGCAATACGTTAATAAGAGTGAGAGAGAAATACAGAGGAGAAAAGGGATATAGAGATCAATTCACCTCAAAGTATGACGATAACACCCTAAGGGAAAGAGTATAAAATAAAATTTAGAAGGAACCGGAAACACAATACTGAACAGGAAGCAGCGGTTAAACCCTGTTCAAAACAACGAGCAAGGATGTCATATGATAAAAATATAGTTTTATGGTATTCTATATTTATGAGATTCTCAAAATATCCGTCCATATTATTCCCAGCGTCCTTCACTAGAAGCAAGTCACTTTTGCTACAAGTCTCATCATATTCATCTCTGAGACTCTTTGGCCTTGGAGGGGGTAACAACATCGTATGAAAACAGCATTAACATTGATACGTGAACTTTTCAAATCAGTCAACAAGAGTTCATATAGTGATTCTTTCAGAGTATCTTAGATGTGGCAAAAGGCTTAAAGTATGAGGTACCCGTGAAGATCAATCTTACTATTCAGTCATAAGAATTCTAGCGAGAGAGGTTTGCTGACCATTAATCCACTCCGAAGTGTCTGCTCTAGCTATATAGTATCATATGTAGGTATAAAGACTAATACGTAGGTATAAAAAATCATATGTAGATATAATAACTCATATGTAGGTATAAAGAATCATATGTAGGTATAATGAATCATATGTAAATATGAATACACATATGTAGGGACAAACACTCATATGGAGGTAAAAAGAATCATATGTAGATATAAAACCATGTAAATATAAAAACGCATATGTAGGTACAACGACTCATATGTCGGTATAAAGAATCATATGCAGGTATAATGAATTATATATAGATATAAAGGCTCATATGTAGATTTAAAGACTCATATGTAGGTATAAAAAAATTGTATGTAGATACAGAGACTCATATGTAGGTATAAAGAATCATATGCAGGTATAATGAATCATAAAACTCATATGTAGGTATAAAGAATTATATGTAGATATAAAGAATGATTTATAGATATAAAGAAACATATATAGATATAAAGACTCATATGTAGGTATAAAGACTCATCTGTAGATATTAAGAATCTTATGTAGATACAGAGACTCATATGTAGGCATAAAGACTCATCTGTAGATATTAAGAATCATATGCTGATACAGAGACTCGTATATAGATATAAAGACTCATCTGTAGATATTAAGAATCATATGTAGATACAGAGACTCATATGTAGGCATAAAGACTCATATGTAGATATTAAGAATCATACGTAGATACAGAGACTCATATGTAGGCATAAAGACTCATATGTAGATATTAAGAATCATATGTAGATACAGAGACTCATATGTAGGCATAAAGACTCATCTGTAGATATTAAGAAACATATATAGATACAGAGACTCATATGTAGGCATAAAGACTCATCTGTAGATATTTAGAATCATATGTAGATACAGAGACTCATATGTAGGCATAAAGACTCATCTGTAGATATTTAGAATCATATGTAGATACAGAGACTCATACGTAGGCATAAAGACTCATCTGTAGATATTAAGAAACATATGTACATACAGAGACTCATATGTAGGCATAAAGACTCATCTGTAGATATTAAGAAACATATGTAGATACAGAGACTCATATGTAGGCATAAAGACTCATCTGTAGATATTAAGAATCATATGTAGATACAGAGACTCATATGTAGGCATAAAGACTCATCTGTAGATATTAAGAATCATATGTAGATACAGAGACTCATATGTAGGCATAAAGACTCATATGTAGATATTAAGAATCATACGTAGATACAGAGACTCATATGTAGGCATAAAGACTCATATGTAGATATTAAGAATCATATGTAGATACAGAGACTCATATGTAGGCATAAAGACTCATCTGTAGATATTAAGAAACATATGTACATACAGAGACTCATATGTAGGCATAAAGACTCATCTGTAGATATTAAGAAACATATGTAGATACAGGGACTCATATGTAGGCATAAAGACTCATCTGTAGATATTAAGAATCATATGTAGATACAGAGACTCATATGTAGGCATAAAGACTCATCTGTAGATATTAAGAAACATATGTAGATACAAAGACTCATATGAAGGCATAAAGAATCATCTGTAGATATTAAAGAATCATCTGTAGATATTTAAGATACAGAGACTCATATGTAGGCATAAAGACTCATCTGTAGATATTAAGAATCATATGTAGATACAGAGACTCATATGTAGGCATAAAGACTCATATGTAGATATTAAGAATCATACGTAGATACAGAGACTCATATGTAGGCATAAAGACTCATATGTAGATATTAAGAATCATATGTAGATACAGAGACTCATATGTAGGCATAAAGACTCATCTGTAGATATTAAGAATCATATGTAGATACAGAGACTCATATGTAGGCATAAAGACTCATCTGTAGATATTAAGAATCATATGTAGATACAGAGACTCATATATAGGCATAAAGACTCATATGTAGATATTAAGAATCATATGTAGATACAGAGACTCATATGTAGGCATAAAGACTCATCTGTAGATATTAAAATCATATGTACATACAGAGACTCATATGTTGGCATAAAGACTCATCTGTAGATATTAAGAATCATATGTAGATACAGAGACTCATATGTAGGCATAAAGACTCATCTGTAGATATTAAGAATCATATGTAGATACAGAGACTCGTATGTAGGCATAAAGACTCATCTGTAGATATTTATAATCATATGTACATAGAGACTCATATGTAGGCATAAAGACTCACCTGTAGATATTAAGAAACATATGTACATACAGAGACTCATATGTAGGCATAAAGACTCATCTGTAGATATTAAGAAACATATGTAGATACAGAGACTCATATGTAGGCATAAAGACTCATCTGTAGATATTAAGAATCATATGTAGATACAGAGACTCATATGTAGGCATAAAGACTCATCTGTAGATATTAAGAAACATATGTAGATACAGAGACTCATACGTAGGCATAAAGACTCATCTGTAGATATTTAGAATCATATGTACATACAGAGACTCATATGTAGGCATAAAGACTCACCTGTAGATATTAAGAAACATATGTCGATACAGAGACTCATATGTAGGCATAAAGACTCATCTGTAGATATTAAGAAACATATGTAGATACAGAAACTCATATGTAGGCATAAAGACTCATCTGTAGATATTAAGAATCATATGTAGATACAGAGACTCATATGTAGGCATAAAGACTCAACTGTAGATATTAAGAAACATATGTAGATACAGAGACTCATATGTAGGCATAAAGACTCATCTGTAGATATTAAGAATCATATGTCGATACAGAGACTCATATGTAGGCATAAAGACTCATCTGTAGATATTAAGAATCATATGTAGATACGGAGACTCATATGTAGGCATAAAGACTCATCTGTAGATATTAAGAAACATATGTATATACAGAGACTCATATGTAGGCATAAAGACTCATCTATAGATATTAAGAATCATATGTAGATACAGAGACTCATATGTGGGCAAAAAGACTCATCTGTAGATATTAAGAATCATATGTAGATGTAAAGCATCTTATGCATGTGTAAATACTGAGAATAAGTCCATGCAAACATTGGGGATCACATTTTACATAGCGAAACGTATTTCCGCTTGGACGTCTCCATGGACAGATGTTTTAACTCTTCATGAAGTCTCAGTACAAATTTCGAGAGTCACTCAAGCTGGAATTTATTATAAAAAAAACCTATAGAGAATCTCTGGTTATAACACACAATGCAATCACAGAAAACGTAGAACGAAAAGCGATATTTACTGATTAATATTTTCAGAGAGCTTACGTAATTTCCATAAGAACTTTGAAAAAAAACCTTTTTCATTTTTTATTTCCCCCCAAGCAAGGGAATAAAAACACAAAGACGCAAGGAGTTACATCGTCGCAAATATATGACAAAAAGAAAATCATTATTAATTAGAAAAGGAAATAAAGAAACCAGAATTATAAAAAAAAAGACGTTAATGACTGAAATTGCATTTAAATTTTTAAAGATCAAAATTGATTGAGAAGGAAGAGGCCGGAGAAGCGTTGCAGAAGCCACTAGTGCAAGAGAAGGAACTTAGTATAATCCTTACGGGGGCATCTATTAGGTTGGTGCAAAAATAATTTCGTTTTCTAACATATATTACTATTTGAGAAAACGAAATTATATTTGCACCAACCTAATAGCTGTAAAATCAGACACTTACCTGTCAATCTAGCACTGATGTTAAATGCGCAAAGGTGAGGTACTTTAGAGGTAGGGTCAGCAGAAGAATTAACATTAAAGTATTTATAGGATAGAAAGATACGTTATTGCGGTGGGAAAGCGACGGAAGACGAGATGCCAGCTCAGTACCGACAAAACTGCAGATTCTTGTTTGAATATTATGAAGAATTTCTAAATTCATACTAGAAGCACCAGACAAGATTTGACAGCAACATTGAAGTAGTAATTTTCCAAGCGTAGCTTAGATGTGGCACAAGACCGAAAGTAAGGCGCACTAGGTGAGGATCTACCTCACTACTCAGTGGTAATCGTTCAAGCTTGCAAACCATTACACCGCCTCGAGAAGCATTCAATATATCGAAGTATAGTAGACATAAATGTAAAAAACATCTTCACGACACAATGAATGATCTTTCCTAGTAGCTCTGATATTTCTACTCAAAGCTGTTTAAGCAGAAAGACGCAACCGCCATGTAATTCCTAAACAGAAAGATGCAAGATGTCCTATGGACAGATGCTGAATGTACTGGAAGTAATATATATATATATATATATATATATAAACGAAGAAGTTATAATATTTCCAACGAAAGAACAGTGTGTACAATAAAAAAGAGACGGAAATCTCTAACGTTTTTGGTTCTAATATGGATTTTTTAAGTCATATATGATGCTTTATTTTAAATTTGCTACACACGTTTCCGGTCTCGCGACCTTCATCAGGCAAAGAGTGGATATTTCCACCTATTAATAAAAGAAATGTATTTTTCTCATGTTTTTTGATGTTAAATATTCTCGATATTAGATATTCTCTTTATTTTGTGTGTTAGTGACACAATATATCTATCTATCTATCTATCTACCTATCTATATATATATATATATATATAAATATAATGCAAATTACAGACAGAAAAATATATATATATATATATATATATATATATATATATATATATATATATATATATATATATATATATATATATATATATATATATATAAGACCAATTACAGACAGAAAATACGAACTTTTTAGATGTAAGAGACGATTACACATCAAGCATCAATTATATTCGAGCATTTTTTCCGTATCGGATGACACAGACAGTAAATGCCGTAGAGAATATTACTCAGAATCACTACATTCTGCAGTAATAGTAAAGCAATCGATGCATCATCTTACACGCTTCTGGGACAGTATCCAATAAACTTTGGCACGTACTTTCTAAAAAAGCTGAAAATAGATGTATATAAAAACATTGTACTTATATAAACAGAAAGCGAAAAAATATTGAAAAATGATAGCTAAGTCGAAACGAAGATGAAATTCCTTTTAACATCTGGTTTATTGAGGATATTGTCAGTGAAATCAACATCAATAATCTTATGTTGGGTTCCGACAGCCTTTGGGAAATTATTGATACCCGCGTTTTATCGATAAAATGACCATATTTCAGTATCCTTATTTCAATGTATGTTTAAGCTTCGCTACACAGCCACGTGCGCAAACACGTGCGAAAACACGTAAATGGATAGCGGGTGGGATTAAGGAATCGGAGAGCCGGGTTCGACTTCCCGTCGGGCTCCTTACGTTCAAATACTTTTGTGAAATGTATGAATCCATTTTTTCTCTTCACTGCCCTGTTATACAACCTTTTATGGTCGATTCGACACAAGATTTCACCAACAGAATCAAATCATATATACGAGTTGTCTGAGAGTTCGGTTCTAAGAAATCAGTACATGTTCCCTCATAAGTCGAAAACGACGGGGGAGACTCCAGTAGATTGTGTGTATATATATATATATATATATATATGTATATATATATACATATACATACATACATATATATATATATATATGTGTGTGTGTGTGTGTGTGTGTTCACGTGTGTTTGTATGTATGCAAATTATTTTCTGATAGTTTTTATCTGTAGAGGAAGATGAATAAAAAAATACAAGATGACAAATCTATCATTGCCTTCATAAATTCCCTCAGACCACGAAACGCTTTGGCTAAGAATAGTTTTCCTTTTGTCGCTTTCTATTCATATATATATATATATATATATATATATATATATATATATATATATATATATATATCGTTCTCAATCGCTATCACTTGACTTAAAATATTTTGCCCTTCCTTGCCTATAAAGGCGTGCCCTTTGCCGTGCTGATGTTGCTACATGCCTTACTTCTTGCCTATCTCACACTGCGAAATTTTTCTAAGCTCTATACTAAACATTAAATCTGTTACGAAAAAAGAACTAAACAAAATGAAAATAAAACTATCAGCTTCACACAAGGACTCGTAACTGGAAAAACCGAATGAAAAAAGAATTTTAACAACAAATACTTTTTACACACCCAAACCAGTTCTGCGGAATCAGAATCAACGTTGAGTTTAAGCAAGCGAATGAGCCAATTGGAGTAAAGTGCCATGCAGATTGAAATTTTTCCCGCTTGTGACAAGTGCATGCTAGTTAACATTCGTGTCAGTCAGCTGTTAGCTCTCACGCTGGCCAATAGAAGCTTCCTGCCTATTCGTGGTAGCCAGCTATAGGCTCTCACTCTGGCCAGTAGAAAATGAAAAGTGCCGTAGAAGCATGAAAAAAATGCAAATTGCTCTTGGACTTGGCCTTCCCGCTAACTTGGAGCATGTGCATGTAAATTTTGGTGCAAATCCGTCGAAAATTGCGGCCATGCATTCGTTACACACACACACACACACACACACACACACACACACACACACACACACACACACACACACACGTCCTGCCTTTTATAGATAGATATATATTTAAGTTTTGTGTGTGTAGCATTTGAGGGTCAGTGTGCAATTTTTCACATGAGACGCGCAGAAGTCTTCTCCCCATTCACGTCCACACGCAAAAAGCTTCCGCGCTGAGAAACTACAAAATCAGACCTCTTCTGTCCCTCTCCCTGAGAACTACGATCAAGGAGTGATACAAAGTCGCCACGAATATAAACAGATACATAATTGCAAAGAAAGAAAGGATGAAAGAAAGAAAAGGAGAGAGAGGGGAAATTAGACGTGGATAAGGAAAGAAGATAAATATATGTTAGACAAAACTTGGCCGAAGTTTATATTTAATTTCAGCTTGAATTGAACTTCACATATATAATGAGGATAAAATACTAATGTCTTTCCTGAGGTGTTTATAAATTGTACACTGTTCAATTATTAACGTTGACAATGAACTATTTTAAATAAAAAAATTGTACTTGAATTAAAAAAGAAAATTACTTACAATATAATATATATGACTTATAATACATTCCTTCAAAGTCTAATACCATGTTATTAATTATTTAAAAAAAGCTTTATCAACTTTAACTAGTTCTTTAACTTGTAACTTATAGTCTCTTTAATTGAATTTAGTCTATAAAATATGTATTCATATTTTGTAATCGTGAAACATTATAATATATATATATATATATATATATATATATATATATATATATATATATATATATTTGTCAGGAAGGAGACTTCCTGAAGTTATCGGTCCGGAGGGGGGGCGAGTGAAATTGAGTAGACGGAACACTTGCACAAGTCATGGTTTTTCGAGGGTTTGAGTGTGTGTGCTGGCGTTGTTCAGATTGTTGATCATGATAGATACAGAACATTTTGAATGATTTTTTAGAGCAAATAAATCATTTGTTTATTGAAATGTTATTAAACGTTTAGTTTTATTTCAAATAGGAGGTATAAAATTGATATTCCTTTTTTTCAACATTAAGGTGGTTTATTCTTTATGACTAAATGCGTCATGGATATATCAGATTTTGCGGTTTTGTATAGGATACAGGTTAGATTACTGTCGGAGAACGCATATCTTTTACCAAATTTCGCGAACATCCAGGCCGCTTATTAACTCAGTTTTTTTAAAAAAAAGGGAGCACTTAACTTAAAGAGAATCTATTAAAAAAATGAATAAATAGAGTATATATATATATATATATATATATATATATATATATATATATAAAACTGATCAGAAGTCAACAACGTCGTGGCCTGACGATTGCGTCTAGCATGAAACAGACTGTCGCCTGTAAGTGTTGACTTCTATGTTCACTTTTATATTTACACACGCTCTATCTTTGATGGATCTTTCACGTACATTCATATCTGCTCAAAGCATATCCATAAGCAAACAAATGACAACAGACGACGAATATTTGTGAAAATTTCTCGGACATACAGGCCGATAAATGTTATTAATACTGTTTATTATAAAACATAGCAGTTGCTTAAATATTTGTATCTATAAGAAGAATGTATAAACATTAATATAACTTAAAATAATTGTCGGACTTTGTTCATTTCATAATGTGTGACGTCATTTGTTTAGATTTGGATACGCTTTGAGCAGATATGAATGTACGTCAGAGATTCATGGAAGATTGTAGTTTAAAAGCAGTAAAATCGACCTTACTAATCGAACGATCCTCCGTGGCTTGATCGGTTAAAGTCACGTCAGGCTAAATGACGGTTCCGTATAGGATACAGGTTCAATTTCTGGTATGAAAATTTCTCGGACATTCAGGCCGGTAAATGTTATTAATAATGTTTATTATAAAACAGAACATTTACTTAAATATTTGTATCTATAAAAAGAATGTATAAACATAAAAATGTCTTAACATATATATATATATATATATATATATATGACGATTACGGGTCCCATTACCCACTGGGAGCATTGGACCACACATGTACTGCAGCCATGACAATAGGGGTGTAACTAAGGCAAGAAAATCTGATGGAATCGTCTCTCATCAAGCTGGATTTCAATTCCTAATTTCTCGTAATATGAGCGCGTGGCCGAGTGATTTGAACGTTTGCTTTCTGACCATGAGACTCGTGTTCGAATCTCACCACAGTTTATTTGTCAGGAAGGAGACTTCCTGAAGTTATCGGTCTGAAGTGGGGGGTGGCGAGTGAAATTGAGTAGACGGAACACTTACACAAGTCATGGTGTTCGAGGGTTTGAGTGTGCTGGCGTTGTTCAGACTGTTGATCATGATAGAAACATGCTCTCTCCCAGAAACTGTAACTAATGTCTACTCAGCATAGTTGCAGTATAAACCACTGTTGGGCTCTGTGGGTGTTGAACAAACACAAATGTGCCTGAGCAAGAGTCTGCTATAGGAATTGGCTAGCCGCCCTAGTAGACGAGTATTTGCGTATTCGAGTGGCCAGCTAGTATATATATATATAATATAGTTATATGTGTGTGTGTGTGTGTGTATATATATAAATTCTTAAGAGGATAGAATCCAGGAAGAACTCAATGTCCAGGACAGAGTAAGAATATAATATAAAAGGCTCAAACACTAATATTCCATGGTTATAATTTATTACATTGGAATCGTAATCACGATCCAATTCATTAGACCTTCAAATTCAAAAAGAAATCGGAAAATATAACTCCGGAGGTATATTTTCAGATTTCTTGGAATATTAGTGTTTGAACCTTATTTATATATATATATATATATATATATATATATATATATATATATATATATGTGTGTGTGTGTGTGTGTGTGTGTAGACTTTAGTGAATGTCTCAAATGGGCCTCAGCCATCTTGACCATGCCACAAATCATCATGACAATGCCTCTGCCATCAGGGCATATATTGTTTTGGTGCGAGATTCATCCCGTCCTTGCTTCAACAGAACAACATTGTTATATATGTATGGTGGCTTATATAAAAGAATTGAAGCGATGGAGATTTTTTACATTGTTTTACATTGTCTTCCTTAGTTATTCGTCTGCGGAAACGGTTGTATGGAGCTGATAGTTTTCTGATAACTATCTACCTTTCTTGCTGATTTTCAATGCTTTCCTAAAGTAAATTTATTAGCAACGCATTCACATTATACATATATTAAACTTACATTTCATTAAGTCATACAGTGATACCGGTAATTGTAAATATCTTTCTTACTCAGTTTCCTGAGCATTACCAAAGTCAGTTTGTTAGCAATGCATTTGCATTACATATGAAATAGCCTCGTCTCTATTAAGAATATTAGTCTTACAACCTGTCTACTGAAACAAAAAGAAATCTCAATTTTCCATCTCCATATTGAGTGAATTCGCGGGGTGATAAAAGGATATACTTTAAAATGTTTACTGAAACAGGATATAGTTTAAAAAGGATATAGTTTAAAAATGTCTACTGAAACAAAAAGAAATCTCAATTTTCCATCTCCATATTGAGTGAATTCGCGGGGTGATAATAGGATATACTTTAAAAATGTTTACTGAAACAGGATATAATTAAAAAGGATATAGTTTAAAAATGTCTACTGAAACAAAAAGAAATCTCAATTTTCCATCTCCATATTGAGTGAATTGCGTGGAGATAAAAGGATATACTTTAAAATGTTTACTGAAACAAGATATAGTTTAAAAAGGATATAGTTTAAAAATGTCAACTGAAACAAAAAGAAATCTCAATTTTCTATCTCCATATTGCGTGAATTCGCGGGGTGATAAAAGGATATAGTTTAAAAATGTTTACTGGTCCTTACCTTATATTTAAATTTTTTAAACAAAATGTAATTAATTATTTTATACAACAATTAGTTGCCTGCTCCAGGATTGGATTTTACCTTTGTGGATTCGCCTTTATGATGAAATTGTTTATGCCTCGTGATCATCAAAATACATATTCGGGATTTTGTTGAAAGCTTGTCATATTAAAACGGAAGTTGAGCACTTTGTAGTGCTTAGCACAGTTGTCTTGCTAGATCAATTACGATTAGAAAATCATTTTCTCATCGGGAGACCTATACTTTCGGCAAGATAAGGTGCCCTTTTTCAGGCTGATTAAAGGAATCAATTTTTAAAGTAATAAATTATACCTTCTGTTCTTTTAATGTTTCATATAGGAGATAGGGGGGCATCTTTCATCAACACATATGTCACCGCCACCATTAAGACCAGACCTCATGAATTTATTACCACTTAGGCAGAAATTCACTTTGGCCAACAGTCCAAAAATGAGATCAAGGCTCTCTACAAATACAGAAAATGAACAATGAAAAATTAAAAGTACATAAAGAAAAAAATTATTGCTTTAAAAATTGATTCCCTTAATAAGCCTGAAGAATGTCACTAGAACGGAAACCTGTGTAACAAAAATATGAAGAATAAAATATAATAGATATAATAAAACAAATCCACATGACAACCAAAAACGTTTGCGGTTTCTCTCTTTTATTAAAATATACATCATTTTTTTCTCTCGTTGGAACAATCATAACCTTTTCCCCATATATATATATATATATATATATATATATATATATATATATATATATATATATATATATATATATATATATATATATATATATATATATATATATATATATATGTATATATATATATATATATAATAAATACATACATATATATATATATATATATATATATATATATATATATATATGTATGTCTATATATATATATATATATATATATATATATATATATATATATATAATATTAGTGGTAAATATACACATACATACGCAAAATATATAAATATATATACATAGGTGCATACATATATGTATATTTTTTAAATAAAAATTCAAGATGATAGAATCCAGGTAGAACTTTATTATACTTTATTATATATATATATATATATATATATATATATATATATATATGTGTGTGTGTGTGTGTGTGTGTGTGTGTTATTTTGTGTATGTCTTAGTGATATAAATAAGAGCATCTCTGAGACAAAAGCACGTTTCTCATTTCTTTTCCATTCAGCCATTCCGTGAAAAAAAAACGTGTTATTATATCACGGATCTAATACTTCTAGTCATAGAAACGGGAGAATAAGTATTTATTCCCTTAATTCTCACTCATTACTGCTGTATATTAATCTCTATTCGCTTTCCCTCTTCTAAGTCTAATGATATCTCTTCCTGGTTAAATGTCCATTTTAATCCTACTCAGCCAATACTCGACCCGTTTCACGTGTATCTCAGTATGTTCATATTACCAGGCACTACAAAAATGTCACTACGGCAGAAACATTCTGCAAACAACAACAAAAATATGGATGTTAATTCCGCTGCAAATAATGAAAATAGGGATAAATGCTCATTTAAAATTATTTCAAACAGATATTTTTTTTTGTAAATTACACTAGCTTTTGTATTTATTGGAGGAAAAAACACGTCTAATTATTTATTAATTTATCAAGGAGTCTACATTGGTCTCATTCTCTGCAGAGGCATAGATATGGCGATGGAATAACGTAAAATAACGAAATGAATGAAGGGGTAACAACAACGAAAAGGAAAAAATATAAGGAAGACGTTAGAAATAAATAAATAAATAAATAAATAAAGAAAGAAAGAAAGAAAGAAAGAAAGAAAGATAAAAGGAAAGAAAGACAAAAGAAAATGAAGGAAAGGTTTAGTGATATGGAATAAGAAATAAAAACAAAAAAGAATATATAAATGGAAAGTTAATGATATGAATATAACTAAGAAAGAAAGAAAAGAAGGAAAGAAAGAAAGAAGGAAAGAAAAAGAAGGAAAGAAACAATCAAAAATAAAAAAGGAAACTGACAGAATTACAATGGATAAAGTTAACAAAGTGTGAAAAACGCAAAAAAAATAAATAAATAAAAGATGATTTGAAACTGTAGGAATGAAAATAAACGAAGGAAAAGAAAGACGGTAGAAGGGTCGAGAAGGACAAAAAAAGGATAACGGGTAGAAAGGAAGAAATAAAGGAATGTAGGAAAAGAAAGAAGGAAGGAAGTTATGGAGAGAAAGAGCGTAGAATTAAAGGAAGGAAGGAAAGAAGAAAAGAATGAAGAAAGGATGTAAAGCAATGAATGAGCGTAGGAAGGAAGGAAAAGAAGAAAAGAAGGAAAAATAAGAAGGAAAGTAGAAAGAAATAAAAGAATGAATGAATACAAGAAAGAAAGGAAAGGATAATTTGAAGGCGAGCAATTGAAAATAGATAAAGAAACGAAACAGTGGAAAGCGAAAAGAAAAAGCAACAGGGGGAAGAAAAGACAGTAATAAAGAAGAAAAGATAAGATGTAACAACCTATAAATGAAAATCATAGAGGCAAGGAAGAATTCGAAAAGTAAAAGTTAATTTGAATCTTAGAGAAAGAAAGAAATATGCAACATTTACTCAACAGATGAAAAATCGATAAAGAAATTAAAGAAAGCAAATCGGAAAATGAATGAAAGACTTTTTGAAGCTGATGAATATAAATGGTTAAAACAAAAAAGAAAGAGAATTTGAAAGTGATAGAATGAAGATATCGAAAGAAAAGAAACAAAAACAGAAAATTGAATGTCTGATCGTCTAATTTTAATCTGACAGAATGAAAATGAACAAAGCTAAGAGAGAGTAGAAATCAAAAAATGAACGAATCTTAAATTGAAGCTGACAAAAGAGAAAGAAACAAACGATAATTTTGAAGGTGTGAGAATTAAAACGGATAAAGAAAATGGCAAAACCAAAAGAAGAAAGAAAGAACGGAAAATTTGAAGGGGAAAATCCAAAATAAAAAGAAAGAAAGAAAGGAGGAAACGCTAAGTTGAATGTAACAGAATTAAAATCGATGGAGAAAAAACAAATAAAGAGGACTGTATGGATGTTCTGAACACGCGAAAGTTGTATCAGTAAATAAATAAAAAAGCTTGAGAAAATAATTATATAGGACTGAAACGGCGTAAATAAGAAGACGAAACAAAGAAATGTTGTAGAAAGGGAGAAGACAGAAAGTAGACATGTAAAAGAATGGAGTTTAAAATAGACACAACCAGTATAGAACAGGCTGATAATGTAAAGAAATGAAAGAAAAGAAGTCAAACACAGTAGTAAACGAGAATTAAAAAAATAACTCAAATAGCAAGAGAAATAAATAAAGGAGAAAAGAAAGTCGAAGGCATAAAAGAAACATCGACAGACAGACGAGTATAAAAAAATAACTAAATAGAAATCAAAATGTTGAAGATTAGCCAACGTTGAGATAACCATAGAGAAATTTAAAAAAATAACCTTCAGTAAAAAATTGATAATAACGATAATTTTTTTCTTAATTCTCTGTGCAAACATTTAGAGGCATTTTAAAAATCAGAAAAAAAATATAGAATTTTTTTGTTTTCTTTATGCAAGAACATTTCACGGCAAACTAATAGAAAGTCCATCTGTCCTCTTCAAAATTCCATGAATAGCAATAAGTAACGCAAATTGGAATCAAGTCAACGCATTAATATAGGCAATATCTAACTAAATTATTTATAATTTCGATTCAGACAAGACATTTTTTTTCGTTATTCTGTATGCGACGCCTTGCTAATAGCAAGACGATATACTTGCACGATATATGCAAATTTATATCACAACCAATATGGATGGCAAACATGGCTAATGAATCAATATATTGGGATTTGACAAAAAAAGCGCAAAAACGATAAAAAGAGTGTGTAAGATTGAAATATTTCGATCAAATTCCTTTTATTTACATTATTCAAACTATTGTCCCCATCTTTGTCGCCAAATTTATTACAACGTTTCCTCAAGGACACATGGCACACTGAATAAAGACGTTAGACAGGACACAAAGTGTGTGAGTTCAATACCCGGTTAAGGCAGCGGAGAAATTTCAGAGGGAAATTAACAGGAGGTAACTGATAACTGACATCCATTAAACATGGCACGTGGAACTAGAACAGTCTACCCCAGCGAGCGAAATAAAGGGTTCAATTCGACAGTCCAACCACCTGAAGAAGGCCTGAGCGTACAACGGCCGAAACGCTGTAATAAATATAGCTATAAAGATGAGGACAATAGTCCGAATAATGTAAATAATGTACATAATGTCTCATCTCAGATATACAGACAGATACCAAATTCCTTTTGTTATTTATTTGTTTGTATAATTGAACCTATGTATCTATTAATTGATTTTACCGGTTTTCTCATATATATATATATATATATATATATATATATATATATATATATGTGTGTGTGTGTGTGTGTGTGTGTGTGTGTATCTGTGTGTCTGTGTGTGTATACGTTCATACATTATATTTATATATACACATATATATATATATAGAGAGAGAGAGAGATACATATAAACATACATAGAAACGTTCACATACACACAAACACACACACACACACATATATATATATATATATATATATATATATATATATATATATATATATGTACACGTTTGTGTGTGAGTAATAAATTTGGGTATGTAATCCCGACAGAGTTATAAGTTATTGACATTTGAAAAACGTTCATGAAAATATGCTTCGAAAATAATATCCAATAATGTGTTTCGCCTCTAATTATCTGATGTCTATCAATCTCGAACAACGCCTGCTTGGGAAAATAATATGGTTTAATTATAATAGAATACAAACCATTTACACATAGTTGTAATGAATGTTGTATTATATATATATATATGTACATATATGTGTGTGTGTCTGCAGATATGCGTTAGGTAAATCTTCGCTCGAGAATGAAACAGGGCTTGATACTTTAACTCAATTTAATTATATTGAGGTTTTCGGCTCTCGTTTTTGAAACATGAGAACTCTTATGTAGCGAAGGATTCATATCTTTCTTTTTAAATAATTATATATATATATATATATATATATATATATATATATATATATATATATATATATATATATATATATATATATATATATAGTCAAACCTAGTGAGCCAGACAAACCTACCCAGGTTTCACCAAAGCGGATCGTCAGGGAAAGGTGGCTAAAGAGGCAAAAGAGAAACGGCATATTTATAGGCGACAATCAAAACAATACCACGTGACCAAAAAAAAAGAATAGAAAAACAATGCAAGAAAAGAGAAAAAACATAACACCGTGTTTTCTTAAAATATCCCCAACTCTTTTAATCGTTTGAATAAATCATAACCCCCCCCGCCCCGGAGTTGTGTTGTTTTTTCTTTTCTTGCCTTCGAGATTGATTTGATTATTGGCAATTCGAAGGTTTTTAGAGACGAGTCTAGTTACCTATATCTATATAGATAGATAGATAGATAGATAGATAGATAGATAGATAGATAGATACACCTAGTGAGCCAGACAAACCTACCTAGGTTTCACCTAAACGGATTGTCAGGGAAAGTAAATTCGAGGTTTTTCGAAACGAGTCTAGTTATCTATAATTATATATATATATATATATATATATATATATATATATATATATATATATATATATATATATATATATATATATATATATATATATAAAGACATTTTATGTTTAACGTTCTTTTTTATTATAAACAGAGCATTTACTTAAATACTTGTATGTATAAAAAAAAAGAACGTTAAACATAAAAATGTCTTTAATAAATAAATTGTCGGACTTTTCTATTTCTTAATATATATATATATATATATATATATATATATATATATATATATACATACATATATATATATATATATATATATATATATATAATTTCAGTGTTTTTGACAAGAATTTTTCTCAAGGATTGTTATAAATTGATGAGCTGTCTTAATCAGATTTGTTTTATGTTCTCAGTAGTTTTTAATCAATCCTGTTGATGAAAGATCTTCTGTTAAATGAACCTCTAATATTTCCAGACTGGGGGATTGAAAGGGGTGGCCCAATTCCCTGGTCAACTCCTTCACCAGATATCACTACCGTGAATTACTTTCTCTATTGGCATATTAAAGATATCGTGTATCGATCAAAAACACGGCACATGACTGATCGAAAGTAAAAAGTCAATGATGCCATTGCCACCATTGATGAGGATATGCAACAGCGAACATGGCAAGAAACTGAGTACAGTACCGTTCTGACGTGCATCGTTCAGCTAATGGTACCAATATAGAGATGTATTTATAGAAAGGCTATATATATATATATATATATATCTATATATATATATATATATATATATATATATATATATATATATAGAGAGAGAGAGAGAGAGAGAGAGAGAAATATTACATTTCGTTGGTATAAGAGATTCAGTTGCTATTCGTTTTTTTTCTTTTTTCATTCTTAAACCGTGAAATTAATAATATAGCACATTATATTGAGAAGAGCATTGAAGAAAGACACAGTTGTAAACTGCATCCTATTTTCCACTGGGAAAACTACATCTATAGATGAAACGTCTTTACAAATTCGGCTTGGAGTTTAGCGTTCATAGAGCAAGGTTAGAATTATCTCGTATCTGTCTATATTTCTGAGATGTGGTATTATGAACACTATTTACATTATTCGGACTATTTTCCTCATATTTTTTTGCCATGTATATCACAACGTTTCGGCCGTTGTACGCTTCAGCCTTCTTCAGGTGGTTGAAATGTCGAACTGAACTCTTTATTTCGCTCACTGGGGTAGACTGTTCTAGTTCCACGTGCCATGTCTAATGGATGTCAGTTATCTCCTGTTAATGTGTATGTTCGAAACTTATCATGCCAACTCTCTCTCTCTATCTCTCTCTCTCTGTGTGCGTATTATACTAAAAAAAAGAAAGAATAGTAATATATATAATCCGCTGTTCTTATTGATATTTTTGTTTTTACAAAAATTCTTAACATATATAGACATAAAAAATCTTGGTTACTAAATTAAGACGAATTTTTCCGTTTATTAGTCATTCCACCTTAATATTCGTATTTTAATATCCCCTCCCCTTCTGGTTGAATAAATCTTTAACCCCCCCTACCCTGGTGGTTTTGTGTGTTGTGTTTCTTTCTTTGGTCACATGGTATAATTTTGGCTATCGCCTATAAATATGCGGTTCCTCTTGCCTCTTTAGCCAACTTTCCCTGACGATCCGTTTAGGTGAAACCTAGGTAGGTTTGTCTAGCTCACTAGGTTTATCTAGGTCTGCTCTACGGTTGTATTGGGAGCTTTTGTTCGTTAGTTGTTTACTCGTGTCGGGTTTTTTTCTTTGGGCTTCAAACCTGTATCTGTGCGACTTTTTTTCGACAGACTTTCATGTTTCTAGCTCTTTCTTTTTTCAAAACCTTTTTTCCCCTCGATATTGATTTGATTATTGCCAAATCAAAAATTCGAAGGTTTTTCGAAACAAGTATATATATATATATATATATATATATATATATATATATATTAAGCGTTTCACCCCAAGCAAGGCGGGAAGCCACTAAGACGCAAGGGGTTACAGAAGATTTGGAGCATGTTCAGATAGGAGCGATAGAGGAAAGGATGAGAAGAAGGATAGTGGATAGATCAATGCAAATGGAGACGTCGACTGACATTACATTTGAAAAGATGAAGATTATAGCTCTCAGGAAAACTGGAAAAGGGAAGGGAGTTCCACAGGTGACAGGTGCGAGATATGAAGCTATTGGAGTAGAAGAGACGGCTACATTTAATTGTTTCGACAGCGAAAGGGTGAGAGCGGGATGCCAGCCTCGTAGGGCGTTTGAATTCATGAAGTCTGGGAACCAGCTCCTCGAAGCAATTTCCATGAAAATATTTGTAAAAAAGACGGAGAGAGGCAACGGCACGTCTGTGAGAGAGCGACTGTAGACGAGATACCAGAATAGGGTATATTATATTGCATATCCGCCTCTGGATCTTATCAAGAACCCCGAGACAAACAGATGGGGCTCCAGACCATATATGGCAGCAAGGGCGAATTGTTGATTTATAGATCTGAAGGATCGATTCCAGAGAAAAAAATTTCCTGGCGCGGCACAGGAAGCCAACTTTATACGACGGACATAACTTTAATTTCACCAATACCAGCCTTATTAAAAAAGAACGACCATTGAAAGAGAAAACATTATGAAAACATATTTACAGCAATACTATCAACTATTAACAACTACATTATGTCACGCTTTTTTCTATAGATCCTTTATTCATGAATCAAACTTCTCTCTTCCTAATGCATAGAAATCAATGCCGATATATACACAATACGCTTGAGTTACCCTTTAATGAAAAATCAAAGCGAAACAAACTGCGCCTCACTAACTTTTACACACTTTCGCGTCCAGAATGTTTCGCACGCATATTTGAATATTATCTGTTAATTCATTACGCGTGACACGTATCTAACCAATTAGAAATAACCAATCAAAACATTCTCCTGCGTCTCACTAGCTTTTACCCGCTTTTGAGACCAAATTGCTTCTCACAAATAACTGAATATTATCTGTTACTGAATTACTCGTGACAGAAATAACCAAATCAATATCCTATTAATCTGCGTCTCTTTGCTTTTTATAATTTCCTATAATTTCTAGCTTGATCTCTAACGAAAATTTAATAAAGTGAAGCATGTTTGATTAAGTTCTGTTACCTACTCGTTCGCTTTTCTATCATATATATATATATATATATATATATATATATATATATATATATATATATATATATATATATTACATTTAATGAGATCCAAACGAATTACCTCATACAGATGATCATTTAGTCCATGGGAAAATGGTTATTCCATGGACTTATCAATGCAAATACATTTACTAAAAAATTCGGTTGAATGTTATTAATTGTAATTCACTTATATAATAAAAATTATCTTGAACTCTTTTTTGAGCATCAGTTTTAATGTTTTATATTAATATTAATCTCTCTCTGTCTCTGTCTGTCTGTCTCTCTCTCTCTCTCTCTCTATATATATATATATATATATATATATATATATTGATGCATCTTTCATTAAATAATATAGATAAGATTAACCTAACCTGAACAAAATAAACTATGAAATCTCCACAAATATTCTTAATGCCTATATTTAATAACAGAAGCCTTTGGTTTATACCAACGGCTTCCCATACTTAATACTTCTCGTTTTCACTCTCGCGTGGTCAATTATGACGTCATCTGTTGCGGTGCGATTTTTGATTCCAGCGTCTCGTTGCTTTGAAATCTTCCATGTACAAAAAAAAGAGACTATCCTTATTGTTTTGTCCGTGCATGCTTTAATATATTGTAATGTAATTGTCATCTTTGATAATGGCTTATGTAAGCC